AGGATACCGCCACTTGTAGGTTATGGGTAAATAATACTACATATCAAGATTTTGTTCAACTTTAGGTCCCTGGCAGGAATCGAACCTGTGGCCCTGAGATTCCGGTCAGCGCTCTAACCAACTGAGCTACAGAGTCCAGTTGTCGAGTTCTAACCACAAATTCATATATACTAGGATACCGCCACTTGTAGGTTATGGGTAAATAATACTACATATCAAGATTTTGTTCAACTTTAGGTCCCTGGCAGGAATCGAACCTGTGGCCCTGAGATTCCGGTCAGCGCTCTAACCAACTGAGCTACAGAGTCCAGTTGTCGAGTTCTAACCACAAATTCATATATACTAGGATACCGCCACTTGTAGGTTATGGGTAAATAATACTACATATCAAGATTTTGTTCAACTTTAGGTCCCTGGCAGGAATCGAACCTGTGGCCCTGAGATTCCGGTCAGCGCTCTAACCAACTGAGCTACAGAGTCCAGTTGTCGAGTTCTAACCACAAATTCATATATACTAGGATACCGCCACTTGTAGGTTATGGGTAAATAATACTACATATCAAGATTTTGTTCAACTTTAGGTCCCTGGCAGGAATCGAACCTGTGGCCCTGAGATTCCGGTCAGCGCTCTAACCAACTGAGCTACAGAGTCCAGTTGTCGAGTTCTAACCACAAATTCATATATACTAGGATACCGCCACTTGTAGGTTATGGGTAAATAATACTACATATCAAGATTTTGTTCAACTTTAGGTCCCTGGCAGGAATCGAACCTGTGGCCCTGAGATTCCGGTCAGCGCTCTAACCAACTGAGCTACAGAGTCCAGTTGTCGAGTTCTAACCACCAATTCATATATACTAGGGTACCGCCACTTGTAGGTTATGGGTAAATAATACTACATATCAAGATTTTGTTCAACTTTAGGTCTCTGGCAGGAATCGAACCTGCCGCAGCTGTCTTTGTTAGATCTAATAAAATGTATACTGTATAAATTTCCACTCGATAATTTCCATCTACAAAACCCGTCAACTGTATAGTAATAATCTTCATTATGGTATAGAGATTTATAACAAAACCAGGAATAAGAAATATTTCTCTATCAGAAAATACGATAGTAATCAGTAATTACATAACTTCATCATGCATGAAAAGCTTCGAACAGATTCTTATACTCTTTTTACTGAATATGCATTTAAGAAAAATAAAACAATCAGCAAAGTGCATGATATTTCAAATTCACATTCGGGACATTATGGTTATCAAGTGACACTTTAAAATCCAAAGAAAGAAAATCAGTGGGGGTAAAGTAATACTTGGAAAGTGCCCAAACAAAAGGCATTGTGAATCGCTTATATTTTACATGTGTTACATGCAAGTGACCTGCATAAATTTGCTTCTGATTCTTTCAAAAACTCACTTCAGTCACTTGTGCATGTTTTTTCCAAATTGCACTCAAAAGTCGAAACCATATAGCCTGTAGGCCTACTGTCACATATATATAAGCTATATATAATTTATTTTTGTTCTAATTTCAGGTGGAATTATCCAACATCATTGTACAGACAGTGTTATCGATCATGCTGTTATTATCGAAGGCTTTGATATGTCAGGTATGTATATTTGCAGAATTACGTTTTCCAGAATTTACGTGTCTTAGTCTCCTTCGCAGCCTGTTCGCGGGTGCGATGTTTTCTCCCCACTCTCGCACCCGCGAACAGGCTGCGAAGGAGACTACTATGGCCTATGCATGCTAAAATAATTATTAAATCTATTTTCACAATTATTTTACCCACTCACAATGACGAGCGCATTATTTGAAGAAAGTTGCATAATTATAAAGAACAAAGTTGAGTGCATGCAATTGGTAATTTTTTCATTTTTCAATATACCTCAATCATGCATGTTCTATATTTGAAGGTGAGATTCCATATTGGATTGTTCGTAACTCTTGGGGAACTGACTTTGGGCTTGACGGCTATTTGTATATAAAAATGAATGAGAATATATGTGGTAAGTAACATGTTTCCATGCAATGACAATGTTTTCTGGTTTGGAATTAAGTAACTCATACATGCAGTATAACTGATCTTTTATGCCTAGTATTCTTGCTTGCACGCATGTACTGTTGTGATATTGCTAAAATACCATTGTCTGGTTCATTGTTAACGTTTGCAGGTATTGCTGAAAGGGTATCGTATGTGAGAATATGAAATCATCTGATGGAACTAAGAATAGTAATCTTATGTACAACTTTGGCCCTTGTTTTCATAATGCGTGGATCCAGTAACAGAGTGCTGGAAGCAACCCATTGCCCATTGGGTAGAAGTTGGTTAATGATTCAATTTACAGTTTGTTAGTTAATGTTTAATTAATGTTTAATTAAGTGTACATGTGTGACAGGGACAAGGTAAAAAACAAGGCTGTTGGATAATGAAAAAGGTAATAATAGATCTAAAGATGGAGTCAATAGGACTGAAAGTAGTCGCTTGGGATAACACCATAGATATCTCATATGAGATATCTCTGGATAACACCTATACACTACCATGTTATAGAAAAATGTCTTGTACGCATATCATAAAAGGCATTAAAAACAAATATTAGGACAAACCGACAAGGACGGGTAGCAGTTTTTACATTGTATTGTATAGTCATGTTACATGTAGACATTTTGTAATTAACTAATACATGTATGATTATACAAATAATGAATGTTTCTTCGTGCAATGGTAAGAATATTTTCATTCGGTGAAAGATGGAATGTTCCATTCAACGAGGCAACAGCTGAGTTGAATGGAACATTCCATCTTTCACCGAATGAAAATATTCTTACCATTGCACGAAGAAACATTCATTATTTGTTTTATATAATACCAAAACAGACTAATAGATTCGTATGAGAAGCATTTTGAGGGATGCGATTTATCGAAAACACAAAGAGTGCAATTGTACTATACGTTTTATTCCATTGCACTCGCGGAGAGTGCAATGGAACGTGTTCCATTGCACTCTTGGGAAATGGGATTTTCTATTCAATATCACGTGACCATAAACAGCCAATTAAACGATTAGAATTTAATAAGGTATTATATAATAATCTATAAACGTGGATTGATATTGAAGCAATAATATAATAATAAACTCAAAGCCTTTATTATACCGATGTATTTAAAATAACGAAAAGAGTGTGTTTTTTTCCACATATACCTGTGCTTACTATACTTTGAAGTGTTTTATACGCCGTTAATAAACAGCTTTCGAGAAATTCAACACGATAGGTAGAGTTATTTATTGGCGTTTCTGACCGTGGTATCAAAACAACGATATGATGCATCAGTGTATGGTGCTCGTTTCTTTCCTGTTTATATTGAGAAAAAAATTGAAACCGTAGTCCCCCTTTATTTAAAGTTTTCTTTTTCTAAAGAACGCCCTGAAAACTTATCATGAATGCCAATGCTGAAAACTGGTTTCCAATAGGCAATTCCAGGTTCAGTTAGTTTATGTGTGCAGGGGACGATGGGAAGTAAGGTATCACATTGGTGATTATGCTGAAAAACTAAAAATGGTGGTCGTGTAAACACGGACTGATAGCCTATACTTGTAAATATTGAAATATTTCGGTAGTTTTTATTGAAATTTTTCAGCATAATCAGCAATATGATACCTTACTTCCCATCATCCCCTGCAGGCATAAACTAAAAGCTGGAATTGCCCACTGAGCTATAATATGGAATTTATTCCATTTCCGATAAATTTACGACTGTGATACGTAAAAGTACGAATATTTCCGAAGAGTGGCCGACGTATTTCAGCCATATTCGAATCGAGAAATATAATACTATTTTGATGATAAATTATACAAAGAAAAACTTATGTGAAATATGCTAAGATTTGGGAAAACTATTGTATCGGAATCAACGGTAGGAAACAAGATTTTATGAGCATTCTAATGTTTGTAATGCCTGTTCCTTTATCATTTGGTACAACGTTTGTAATATTATCTTTCACGAATAGTATGGTGGTCGATTTTGCAACCGATGGAAAACTGTATCTGGTCTCTGCTCTGCAAAAATAAGAAAATTTTCAGATTCTGGAGGTTAGTTATCTACATGTATGGCAGTTTGTCATAGGAGTGTGGATGTAACGTTTTGGTACACTTGAGACTTGACTAAGACTTGCTGACTAAGGTGCTGATTACATGGACCGGGCCAGCCCGGTTAACCGGGCTGAAAAATGTCACGAAATCTTCCTTGGGCCGCAAAATGAGTTTTAAATCGGGTTTAGGATGATTTTGCATCTATAATAAACCAATTATTTATCGCAAATTTATTTTACGCGAGTTTTAAAACCACAGTAAGGTCCTAAACAAACGAGTCAGCCCGGTTAACCGGGCCAGCTCGGCACCATGTAATCAGCACCTAAATTACTCAGCAAGTCTCTTTATAAATACTGTAGTCAAGTGTACCAGAAATTTTACGTATATCAGGGCTCGAAATAATGGCCGATCACTGATCGGCAGGGAATTGTTTTTGATCGGCGAAGAAGCAATGTTGCCGTTCATCTTGATCGGCAAGAAATATATTTGACCATTGTCAGATTGTCTGAAGAACATGCTTACCTGCCTGACTGGAAAGTTTGGAAATTGCGCGGGGGAGATTTCGAAAATTTAATAGTAAATATATAGAGAGCATCGAAAGTGTGTGGGGGATTTCTCCCCCGCGCAATACAAACTTTCCACACTGGCTTACCTGTACGCGGTGAAAGACAAATAAAAAGAGAAGTTTGCCAGCACAACAAGCCCAGCTTTTCATGCACTAATCATTTAACTGTAATTGTACTGTCTGTATAATAGTCGTCTCATACAATATATACAGTATTCTGTACTCAAGTATCTTAATAAATATCAATACAAACATAATCTCCATACAGTTATATCAAAGCAGTCAGTGTAGCAACACGCAATGCAAGTACAGTTATATTAAGCAAACAGTCCATTTTTTCTGCATTGACCGCTTTAATGTAACTGTATGCACAGTACTTGCTTGATATAACTGTATGGAGTGCTTTGATATAACTGCATGTATGGAGATTATGTTTGTATTGATATTTATTAAGATATATTATAAATAAGACATAGTCAGACTCCCTGTGCCAAGACATGGCATCAGTGACAGATAGAAATTTGAATAGGAAAACTTGTGGCTTTTACTATCAGGATCTGCCAGCTGGAATCCATTATCCCCCCTATAAAAGGAACCAAACAAACTCTATCTCTTCAACTTTATTGTATGTTGCACTATGTAGTTTGCCTAATCAGTTACTGTGTGCAAACACTGACCTCTTCTGCAGAAGAGGATAACTTCTATGGTGATCTTGGCAACGCCATCAGGAGTATTTCCGTAAATGAAGAACTATTGTTTGAATTCAGCGCCATGTTGATCACAAGTCCTGCCTATTGTGTATCTGCTCATGGCAATTTGGCATTTGCCACGGCCTCATGGTGTCTGAAACACATTCTTCCAAGCGAAGCCCCAACAGAGTTTTTTGGAGACACGCAAGTCTGAGCACTGGGACCAGCTGGACCAGATTTTGAGCAGGAGGAGACCCTGTGGATGCAAATGCCCATGAAACTGACAACATTTCTGTGATACTGTTTATAACAGCACCATGTCTACCAGCTAGTAAGACAGGAGATTGCTTCAAGGTCATTCTACAGAAATGACATGTTCTATACTTTGGCTGGAAGTTCAGAGTGCCAGGTGATGTGGCTCTAACTCTATTATCAGATATAGACTGTGGCTGGCACAGGGAAGATACATGTAAAATGTACAATGGAATAGAAAACACAATCTGTCCCACACAGAATTCTGCACAACAGAATGGAGCGCTAAATAGAACACTACTGCGAGCTTTATGCTAGGAACTCATGGTCACTGCAAATGCCCTGGATGCCATCAAGTGCCTGCCTGGAGGGTGACAGTGAGGTGACAGAAAATTGCCTCTGCAGGAGATGCTTACCTCGCATTCAAAAGAAGAAGACAGGGACGGAAGGCCCAAAGGCCGATAGACAGACCATCCGTCAGATTTCGTTTGTGCAACTGTACGCACAGGCCTGTCAAGCCACATGTGACACTAACACCACAGATACTGACCAGTGTGCACACACCTGATGTTATTTTAATGCTATTAAATGCTAATTTAGAACAGAAACTACACAATGATAACACACACGTAAGTTGTTTCCTCGCTTTTAAATTTCGTCTAATAATCTGTTTGTAAAAATAAGCGATGTAGCAAAGCTATCTGAAGACTCCTAGCTTTGATAAAATGTAGTTCTTTTCGAATGTATTATTTTTATGGTAATTAGCGTACTATTATTTCAATACCGTCACCTACAATATTTCAAAACTAAGACCAAATATCAGTTTTTGTTTGTGGAAACACCACGTAAATTGATTATTTGCAGAGTTCAATAAATTTATGTGGTGTTTCTACAAACCAAACATAAATATCACTGTTTGTCCTGCAAAACTGCAAGGAACTTACTACCAATCTTCTCAGGTGATGTTGACTTAGTTGTGGTTGGATCAGGACCAGGTGGTTATGTTGCTGCAATAAAGGCTGCTCAACTTGGGATGAAGGTATGCCTGGTCGTATTTGATTTTGCTATCTGGCCAGTGCCATCAATATTTATTTTCAGTGTTTCTATGCATTTTGCATAGACGGGTTGTCAGATTTTGTTCCGGGGGGGGGGGGGGGTGCCAAAAGTTCAGGAGGTGAAGTGAGCAAGGTGGCACCTAGCGCTGCCGAGCAAGCTGCAAAAGGGATCTGGAAAATATTAACTAAGGTTTTTGGTCTTATCCTTGATTTTAGTCTTATTTAGTTTAAAATCCTTATTTAAATCCTACTACTGTCATTTAATTTAACGATAGAGGGGGGGGGGGGGGGGGGC